CCGCCCCCCCCCATGAGCGTGCCCCGGCTGGACGCTCGCTTCCCTCTTGTGTTGCAATGGAGAGGTGGCCTAGGGGGTCACAGCTGATAAACACCTCCCCTGGATCGGATTGGTTCCCCGGTCCCTTGCAGAGGCTTGCAGCGGGGGTACCTTTCCAAAGATCGAGGTGGACATGGCTTGCATTTCAAATAATGTGATTAAAATTGGGCGGCAGTAGTGTCCGACCAAAAGGGCAGGCGGTTGTGAATGCTGCGTGGGCGAAAGCAGCCACAGAAAAGTTCAGGGGGGGGGTTTATTGTGGTAGTTATTCTAAATAATCTTAAGGGATTCTGTTTAAAATGGACACGAGACTGCCTGATTTCCCATGGAAAGGAATTTCAGTAAGGTAGTATTGTGGGCCAAATTCTGCAACTAGGGAAGCAGGTGAAGAGGTTGACATGCATTGTGGAGTGTGATGCAGATCAAAGTTTAAAGGGTCTCATCTGCCCTGTTTTGGAGTCAGTTTTGTGGAAGACTTCACCAGTGTAGGATTAGGACCAGTGCTTTATGGAAGTATGGAAGTAGATGATGTCACAGCTGCAAAGTAATTTTTCTACCCTTGGCTTTGTCCTTACATTTTTTAAGAGTGGTAACCAAACAGAACAGCAAAAGGACCTTTCTTTAGAGCAACTCCATCGACAGCTGCTTATTAAATGAAGCCCCAGTGTACAAGCCCCCTGTGGGGGCTAACCCCAGGCCACACTGAGGGCAATTTGCAAGATTGAAATGGAAAAATCCTAAAACATCAGCTGTTACGTAATCGAGTCTACATTTCAGCTGTTGAAATCATTACATTATTACACATTAGATTGCAAATGTAAATGTTAATCAAACACTAAAGACCTAAGTGACATAAAAACCTTCTTTTACCTTTCATATTACTGTAGTACTGTCCAATTCTGTTGCTAATGAAGTCAGTTATATCCCTTCATTTACACTAATGGCAGTAGGCTCTCCCCATTTGGGTTCAAAGCCGTAACGTTCGACATTGTGCAGGCTGTCAGAAATATTCAGTACGGTGTGCTTGGTCTAGCGCTAGTTCATGTCTTGTGCACATTCTGTTAATTAGTAATGTGAAGCAAGGGACGTATGTAGGGAAGATGCTGCACACTGAAGTTGTGCTACTGACAGTTGAGCCGTCTCAGGGAAAACACTGAGGACACCTGAAATATTTACTGCCCTACAAGGGAATTATGCAGATTTGTTTGTGTTTGTTTGCTGGATAACAAACATTTACAGGTTTTGGCTCACAATGATTGAAACGGGCCATGTCACTTATCACTGCAGGAACTAGCTGTAGTTTAGTGGCGGTCTGATTTCCATGACTTTTACCGCCATGACTTGAGACAGCCAAGTGGATTTCTTATAGAGAGGCAGTGAGAAAACTATAGAGTCGCTTTGTATCATGGGAAGGAATATTAGGTATCATTTTGTTGGCCAGCCATTTGGGCTATTCAGGGTGACATTTCCATTTGACTGTTGGTGACATCTGAAGAGAAATGAAAACGTTCCTTAAAAGGAGCTGTATTTGCCCCTGGTTGTAGACAGTTGTGTAGCAGACAATGACCCTAAGGAATTAAACTGAACTACAGAGTGGTGACAAGCTGCTCTTTTGATTAAACGTATGCATTGTCTTTTCAGAAGCCACAGATAGCCCTGTTATTTTCAAATCTTTCTCTTTCCACTGTTGACCTAAGCCTAGCAGATGCGTAGAAGAGCAAGAAGCCTTTTGTTGCTGGTTTTTTCAGTGCTGACAAAAGGACAGCTCTTGTTATTTAAGAGGTGATATTTATGCTACATAGTCTTATGCAGACTGTTTGCATAGTGCATATGAACTGAAACGGGCACAGTTCCACCCTAACAGATGGACATGAGCATGTGCAGCCAAGAGAGCATGTCAGATGTGTTTGTTAGGGCAGGATCCCCTGCCCAGATCATCTAAAGTGAAATGTATCCTGATTTTTTTTTTTTTTTTTTTTGCATACTTTTGGTTAGGTGATATGTCACTGCTGTCTCATTTTGAGGCTAGGTTAATTTCCAGAAAATAAAATATAAGTAAGCTTTGCAACCAAATATGGAGCCAATGGACTGATTTAAGTGGAAAAGGTGGTGGAAAGCTGAAAGGTGTCTTGTAGCCCTTGTTTGGGAGTGTTTCCATCTGGAGGCTTCTACAAAGTAGGCTAAGCCAAGCTTCCTGCTGTGGCATCCTCTTTGCATGCACTAGCATCAGTGAACATTGCCACCTCGTGGTGAACAAGCCAGATACCTTTCAGGCCCAAAGGTGAGGTGGTTGTAGAGAGCTTGGGTAGTTTTTAGTGACTGCTGCATGCCTCCTGCTATAATAAGCATTACAGCAACTGTTTTTGTTTACAGGCAGAGATGTCAAGTGTTGTATTCTATGTTGGTGTCTTTTGGAAAGATACCATACCTTTCTTCCACTTGATTCACCCAACAGAAATTTCTGTTTTGATCTGTTATAGTTTTGTCAGCTTTGCGTAACTCCAGTCTCCCTAAAATGATTCTGACAGTGCTGGAAGGAGACCCTTAGCGTGGCTCAGGAGATAGTAACCTACAGACTCAGATCTCTAGGTTATTGTTTTAAATATATGCTGGGTTGGTAGTGATTAAAAATATTAATAGGTGATGAGTGTTCACAGATTGTCAGAAGTGTAGGGCTGAAAGGGACCTTGTGAGATCATCAGGTCCAGCCCTGTGAAATAACTCAGTAGCCATCTGCAGATTTGCTTAACTGGTGTCTGCAGACTAAAAAACACTAGTGCTGAGTAGGAGAGATTTGAATGGAGATGCAGAATGACCTGTCTCCATCCTAGAAGTGGTCCCTGCTGCACAAACTAAGGCTCATAGGTATAATACTGATGTGCAAG